ATAAATAAAAATAAAAATCAATACCATGGTAATGGTTGTTAATTTTAAAAACCCTCTAAACATGCAGAGCAGTGAACAAGGCATAGTGGTATTATCCAGGGTGATCAAAAATTCTAAGTCAGCCTATGCTACACCATACACTGAGACCCTGTCTCAAAAAACAAAACAAAAACCTCCCATATGTTGCATGTACTCTTCTGTAAAATGGGGAAGGTAACAGTCCCTTAGGAGATACTGTTAGGCAGGTAGTTGGCCATTAGTGATCCTGAGAGAAAAGAAGAGTCCAAAATAACATGCACTGCCTATCAGAGTTAAGAAGCAGAGCCCTTAGTGTGTGACACATTTATAACCACCTGTTAGGTTTTGGACCCAAAGTGACCTCACAGAACACAGTAACACTGAATATTCCTTCCAATCCCTGCACCCAGCATCTCTGAGGACCAACAGTAGGCCTGTAACCAGTGGTATCAGAAAGGGAAACATTATTTAAAGACTTTCACACCTCAGGCTGAGATTGGATTTAGATTAGCACTTTGGGGATTGGAGATATAGCTCAGTGGCACAGCACCTGCCTGGCAAGCACAAGGACCTGAGTTTGAGTCCCAGTAATAAAAAAAAAAAAAAAAAAATAGCATTTTTTTCATAAATTTTCTTCCTCAATTTTAATGTCCTGAGGCCAAGCATGGAGGCACACACCTAGAATCCTCACACTCAAGAGGCAAGTGCAAGGCCAGCATTGGTTATATAGGCCCAGGGCTACAGAGGGAAACCCCAACCCAAAAAGATGAAAGGAAAAAACAGTTATGGCTTCCAAACAAGTAAAGACAAAATAAAGATTAAAGCCCCTGACAGAACCTTAACCATCTGAAAAAAAACAAGAAAGACAGTTTCAAGACACTGACATTCCAAAGGGACCTCTAAGAAAAATGTCCATAAACATCAAAATGACCACAGCTCCCTTAACCACAGGAATTATGTTTCTTTTTTTTTTTTTTTCTTTTCTTTTGGTTTCTTGAGACAGGCTCTTACTACATAACTCAGGCTAGACCTGCCTCAGCCTCCCAAATGCTATGATTACAGACATGCCACCACTTCAGGCAGCCCAGGAGTAACCCTTATATATGTAACAAGTTACCCAAACTCAGTGCAGATATTACTGTGACACTGCCCACCTCACTTGAAGGCATAATCCTCCATCTGCTCTGCCACAGATTCTACCTATACTTCTACATGGGGCATCTACTGTACAGATCTTGACTGCATTCTTTCATCAATGGCATAAATCACCGAGGAACAAGGAGCAAGGGGCCAGTTCCTCCTGGGTATGGGATCTGCACCGTTTCTGACCCACTTCACTACTCACCTTTGATTCACACAATGTTGTACAACAGTGGAACCATTTATAAAGTAGACAAGACCACAGACACACAGAAGTCTATCCAGAGTTCGCATAAGCTATCACACTGGCAAGTATTTTTCAGGGGTTTGAGCCCATGTATACTTACAGGGATGCTCCACACCTGCATTCCATCACTGTAGCCAATCATAACCAGCAATGGTGGTTCATTCCCAGTGCTGTGTATTTCATGAAATTCAAGATTTCTTGACATATCTGTGTTAGAATTAAATCACAAAGAGAAAACTGTAAAAGGCACAATATCAATCAAGAAAAGAACTGTGCTGCCAGGCATGACGGTACATACCATCATAAAATCCATCTACTTGGGAGGCTGAGGCAGGAAACTCATAAATTCAAGGCCAGCCTGGGCATTAAGTGACTTAATGAAACTCTGTCTCAAAGTAAAATACTAAAAAAAAACGGCTGGAATTATAGTCCAATCCAAAAACTCTGGGTTGAGCTTAGTACCACCACAGGGAAAAAACACACAGCTGGGCATAGTGGGCTCTGGTTATAACCCCAAATCAAGGCCAGCCTGGCCAATTTACTGAGACATTGTCTCAAAATAAAAAGGTCAGGGGATATCATTCATCACTCCCTCGGCTGGGTGGAGAGGTATACAACAGAGGCTAGACATACAGCTCAGTGCTAGTGCCCTTGCCAAGCACATACGAGGCCCAGAGTTCAATCCCTGGTACCACTACATAAACAAATATCAGTATGAGAAAGACATCAAGTTGTGAAAAATATAGAAAACACATATAAAAGACCTCTATTTTTTTTTGTTCCTCGAATGCCTTCAGGGCACTTTTGGCCAGCTGGAGAGTTGTGAGGTTCGAACTCCAGCAACCTGAGGCTGACAGCTTTGTGGAAGCAGCCACTTAAAGGCCTGAGCTAGGGCCAGGCCCCCTAAAAGACCTCTATCAAGAAAGCTATTTGAAGGATAAATGGGAAACACACCTCAACATCACTTGCAATCAGAGAAGTGCTAATTAAAACTAGTGACAGATGTGCCTTGGAAATTGTTTATTCACTTGAGTGTAGTGGTGCGTGCCTAAAACAGCATGCTGGGAGGATAGAAAATTCAAGGCCAGCCTCAGCAACTCATTGAGTTAAGAGAGATCCTATCTCAAAATAAAAAAATAAAAAAGCCTGGAGATGTAGCTCAGTATGAAGATCATGATATCTTGCACAGTATCTTGCACAATACATGTTCATCCTCAGTACTAAAAAAAAAAAAAAAAAAAAAGGAGGAGGAGGAGCACCAGTAGCTTATCACTGCTGAATGTAAATCAGGAGGACCGCTCACTAAAAAAATATTTAGTAAAAAAAAAAATATTTAGTGAGCCACAGAGATAGCTTGGTGGTCCACGTTCCTGCCTGGAAAGCACAAGGACCCAGGTTCCATCCCCAGAACCACATGATGCACTAGCTCCGACCCAGGGCGCCAAGACTGGGCATGGGGATCCATGCCTGTAATCCCAGCACTGGGGAGGCTGAAACAGGAGGATCACTAGGAGTCCAAGTAGCATAGTGAGACCCTGTACCAAATATGTAAAATTACAAAAAAAAAAATTAGGGTCAGGTGTGGTAGCACAAGACTGCAATCCTCACACTGCAGGCTAAGGCAGGAGGATCTCAAATTCAAAGCAAGCCGGGAAAGCACGCCTAGAATACATAAGGAGATTCTGTCTCAAAAATACAAGAATTTAAAAAAAAAGGTTTAGTAATATGTGCTCTGTTTGTAGAGCACCTCAGGTTATTTGTTGGGCACATATATTTTGACCAAAAAGTTCCACTCCAGGGATACACTCATTAGAAATCTAAGCACAAAGACACTATGAGTGATGCTTAAAAGTACAGCAGAATTATTTATGAACAGTCAAAAGATATTAATAACCCAATGTTCACAGTCAAACAATATGATAAACCGATAAAACAAAATATTATTCAGCACAGAAAAAGAAAGGATAGCTACCACACATTATAACACAGATGAATTTCATGGATATGACAAAAAGTCAGACACAAAGGACTATTAAACTTTTTTTTGAGACAGGATTTCATTATGTCAGCCAGGCTAGCCTCAAACTCACAATCCTTCCACTTCAGCCTCCCAAATCATAAGGTTTGTAGGCTTGCAACCACCTTACCCAGCTATACTGAAAAATTCTACTTACATAAAATTCAACAGCAAGTAGGTAGCAATTTTCTATTTTTAGGTGATAATTACACAGGCATTTGATTTAAAAAAAAAAAACAACCTCATTCACTGATCTGTACTTTCTAAAATGAAATGCAATTTACAATACTCTTGTATAATATATGTTTTTAATCCTCATCAATCAAACCAATCCACATCCTTCTCCCTTGGCCACGACGGCACTCTCCTCACCTCCTAGTAGCCAAGTTCTTGAAGAGTGTGTGCTGCTGTATCATTTGTTCATCTCACACGCACCTCAAACCCATTTTATAAAGGTTTCTACTTGCAGCCTTCCTCCCAAGTAACTTTTCCTCTGGTCACCAATAATCTCCAAGTGTTAAACCCAACATTTTCAAGCACATCTTAGTACTCAGCAGCTATTACCTACCACAGCACTCCATTCCTCCCTTGAGTTCCCAGGGCCAAGCCTATCCTAATATCCAATCCCTCTAGTCACTCCTGCCCCATTTTCTCTGCTAGCTATTTGTCTGCCTAGTTTCAAAATGCTGTTTGCTTTGCAGTGTGAGGGATCTGAACTCAGGGCCTTCTACATGCTAGACCACCACTCTGCCACTGAGCTACACCCAAGCTCTGCCATTGGAGCTGTTCAAAACTAATTTGTACATTCTCTCCTTCTCACCATATACACTGTCTCATCCCACCCATTGCTTTAGTGTCTTCTGGGGACACACTAAAGCAACACAGGTTTTTAATGGCTCACGAGCTCAAATTCCACCCCCACAATGATTTCCTCCCCAAAGCTGTTGCTCCTGCAGAGTTCCTTATTTTGGTGAACTGTATCATCACCTAGGCCAGCCACAGTGTCAGGGAACGTGTTCTTCCTCCACTAGAACAGTGAATCGTTCCAATCCTGTCCTTGTCAACAGCTTTAGCTTTCTTCACTCCTCTTACACCGCCGCCACCCCATACTGGCCACATCAAGTCCAGAAGCCCAAATGGCCTCCTACATTCACTTCCCACGCCAAACCCCAAGCACAGTCCAAGCGCACTTTTCATTTGAACTTACCATTGTGGTGTCAGAAATTGAATTCATGGCCTCATGCTTGCTGACTAAGCACGCACCACTGAGCTACACCCTTAGCCACATTTTACACTTCTAAAATCACTTTTAGGGAGAGGGATGAGATTTTAAAAAATAATTAAGATGTATTATGTATATACACCATCTCTTCACAATGAATGTAATCACTATGTACCGCAAACATGCTAATTTTTAAAAAGACAAGAAAATTGTTTTTCATTTATGCTATATGAGGGATTAGGCTCAGGACCACTGCACTGGGCTACATCTCCAGTCCTTTTGTTCTGGCTTTGAAATAGGCTCTCACTAAATAGCCCAGGCAGGCATCTAACTTCCAGGCCCTCTGCCTCAGCTCACAAGTGCCAAGATTATATGTGTGCACCACCACACCCTGCATAAAGTCACCAGGTGTGGTGGTACACACCTCTAATCCCAGCACTTGGGAGGCTGAGGCAGGAAGATCGTGGTGAGTTCAAGACCAGCTTGGGTTACAAAGTGAGCTCAAGGCCAGCCTGAACTTTCATAGCAAGACCCTTTTTCAAAAAGACAAAAAAAAAAATAAAGTTTATTTTTAACTTCTGATCCAATCCCATGCTTTTCAGAATCATTTTTCAACATTTTTGGTGCTGTTTTATCTAGAAGACTTTTTTTAAGGCAATTTAGCAAGACCCTTTCTCAAAAAAACAAGGAAATTTTTTAAAAAAAAAAAAAAAGGCCTGGGATATAGCAGAGAATGAAGAAGGCCTTGAGTTCAGTCTCCAGCAGGGCAAGAAAAGAAAAAGGAAATCTCCAGAAAGCACCCATCAAACATGCATTCCCAAAAAAAAAAAGAAATTTTACAAAGTAAATTAGGATGATCAACGTTTAAGACAGCTATCACTAAATAAAAATTACAGGCAGTCATTATTTCAGACTAAGTTCCTACACTGTACCCCAATATATCAAACTAGAAGCCAAAGTGGTAGCACTCAAAGTTTCACAACACCAAAACAAACTTGTTACCTAATCTCAGAAACCAGGAGAGGTAACAGACAAATTCCCCAAACAGGCCAATTTCTTTTTTACTTTATTTTTAATTTAAGGCAGATTTACAGGGGTCTACAGGGTCTCACTATGTAGATCAGACTTGTAGTGCTTCTCCTGTTTTCAGCCTCCCAAATGCTGGGATTACAGGCGTGCATCATCACACCCAGTCTCAATCACTGTCTCAGTAGGCCCCAGTTGTCGGGGCCAGCATGGTCAGGGACTGAACCCGGCTATTGTGCTCTGCCTCAGCAGGCACACTTTAGTCCACTGCAATATCTGGCCAGCCCAAACAGGCCAATTTCAACGGGCATCTTAACAAAGTTCAACTACTTTAAGTCTTATCAAAAACAACAAAAATGCAACCTAAAATAAACTAATATTAAACAATTGTGAATGCAATCATCTGTTTTTCTTTCTTGTTCTTTAAAAAAAAAAAGTGAACTCAAGGCTGGCCTTGAACTTACATAATCAGGCAGCCCTTGAACCTGAACCTATAGCAGTCCTCTTGAATCAGCCTCCTGGCTCAACCTTCTTTTCTCTTATCTGTTCTCCTATTCTGCTTTAACCAGGAAAGTAATTTTAAAATAACCAATTTCTTTTTGTTACTTGTTCTTTCTTTAGCTCTTTTTTTTTTTTTTGTCTATAAAGTTAAGCTCCTCTGATAAGCTCATAGCAATATTTCTATTTTATAGAATGAAGTATTATCTTATTTTAGTGTACAAAATAAAGCCAAATAAAATCATTAAATTGTTGTAGCCAAGCAAAGTGGTTCACACTTGTCTTGAGGATGAGACAGGAGGATCACAAATTTGAGCACAGCCTGAGCTAACTAACAATTAGCAAGACCATGTCCAAAATTTTAAACTAAATGAATACATAAAAGGGCTACGGATATAAATCACGCAAAAGCCTGGAGTTCAATCCTCAATATTTAAAAAAAAAAAAAAAAAAAAGAAGGAGAGAGGAAAAACTTTAAGTCACTAAGTTTAAGGTTATCCACTGTTATACTTACTTTGAAACTTGTACAATATTAGTTCTACCGAAATTTCTACAGCTGGTTACAATACCTTTTAGTGAAAAATGAATTTATTTTGAAAATTTAAAATAACTTCGGACTAAAGTAAGGGTTCTTTTTTGAGATTCAGGTAAAGCCCAAACAAATATTTATTTCACATGTTCAAAAATGTTAAAAGATCTGATTGAAGAAAAATTAAAATGTTAAAAGCATACCATTTAAATCTGCATTTTCAAATCTGACCCAAACAATTTTCTCCTTTTCTTCAGTTAGAGGTGTTCCACTGTAAGCCTGCATAAGAAACAGAAAGGTTTGATAAAAATATTTTACAGCTCTATTATTAGTGGCTCAAAGCAAAGGGTGAATTCAGTCAAGCCAATTGTATCCCTCTCCAACTTCACCAACTGAATCTCCATAAATAGTACATTTTAAAACATTACTTCTCCCAAAGAATGTTAATTGGGAATCTGACCACTTCAGTTTAAAGAGTTTTAAACTATTTGTAAAAACTGGAGAAACCCAAAATGTAAAAATCAAACTCTACTATAAAGCATAAACTCAATTTCTTTTTTTTTCCCCTTTTACTTGATCATTTATTCTTTTTGGGGGGGGTTCCCATAATTTTATTGAGAAACAAATAGCAATGAGACAGTTTCAAACCAAATTGGTAGGACACTTTCAATAATTAACACATTGCATACATTCTT